CTGTAAATATTATTACAGTATTATCAATAATAACACTGAAAATATTATTACAGTATTATCAATAATAACACTGTAAATATTATTACAGAGTTATTACGTAATTTTATATAATTTAAGCATTACTACAAGTATTATTACGTGCAATAAAATTTTGATTTCGAAATAATAACTTCCCTTTATTTTTATCACATTTATTATTATAACTTGAGAAAACAGATTCGTAGGGAATCTTGATATTTGAACAAAATATTTGGTGAAATATGATCTGTGAAAGGATGAGTACGATTTGCAAAGAATTGAATACAATCCGCAAAAGAATAAATAAACGAATGTGAATCTGCAAAGCGGTTAATTTCGAGTGTAAAAGACCTTTGTCACGTTTCTAATTTCTTCGATTTTTCTGAAAATGGCTGAAAAATGTATAGTCACTAGCTAGCCACACGTTATACAGATGTGAGAAATTATTATAATATATACGAATATCTGAAACGATAAACGAGACACACTGAACTGATGTCGGCCTCCGTCCAATATTGCTGACGTGGGCGCTCGTTCCTCAATCCACATAGTAGAATCGACGGTTTCTCTTTATCAGTCGCGCAAATCGCGATGTCGACAGATCGGCCATCGACAAAATGCACATACGATAATTTTGACACACAGCCGAGCTATTTCTGGCTCACTATCTTTCCGCGACTTCACGCGGTGAATTTTTTCTTTCTTCGTCTTTTTTTTTTTCTCCTCCGTTTCACGACACGAGTATATCGCTCGTATCAATCGCGTTCGTCGAGCCATTGTTAGGCTATGGCAATCACAGGCTGTTCTTGCCAAGTGTCAATGTCCGGATGTAGAATTCGTCGCCGCGTTGAATCAATTTCCATGAATCATTGACGTGTTACAGTCGCGGAGTGAAAAGGTACAATGAACTGGCAAACGCGGATGCGCAAGGATTTTTCGATAAATTATTATTTGTACATTTGTCGCTGAGTCAGTGAAACATCATTTCGTGTATACGAAAAAATTTTTTTTTTCTAGCAATTGTCTAGTATCTATTGGAGAAATTTTATAGACAGCTGATCCATTTCTTCAGCCTCTTTTCGTTCGTGAAATATGTATCTCGAGAATATTACGAAGGGAATAAGATTATCCTTTATGTATTAATAAACGCTGTGTTTTACTGAATTAGACAAATCGTTGGACAAAAATTTTTATAATCAAAAGAACGATGAGTTGACTCGTCCATAGTACGTCGTGAACGATTTTGCGATGCGAGATATTTCGTTCGTAACGAAAGCGAAGAGGTTAGGATTACTTTTTATATTAATAATTGCTGCGTCTTACAAAATAATTTTATTCAAATTATTGAATGAGCTAAATCGAGTTTTTCTAGTTAAAAAACATTTCATTCATATGATTTGACGAGATATTTCGTTTATAACTAATAAGAGGTTAGGATTTCCTTTTATGTTAGGATTTCCTTTATGTGAATGACGCGTCTTACAAATTGTGTCTGACAAAATAATTTTCTCCAAATTATTAAACGAGATATATCGAGTTTTTTTAGTCAAAAAACATTTCATTTATAGTACATTATGAACAATATTGTTCATAACAGCGAAGAGGTTAGGATCACTAATCACTTTCATATCAATAAATACTCTCTTACAAATTGTGTCTCATAAAATAATTTTATCAAAATTATTCAACGAGCTAAATCGAGTTTTTCTAGTCAAAAAACATTTCATTCATATGATTTGACGAGATATTTCGTTTATAACAGCGAAGAGGTTAGGTTTGCCTTTTATGTTAATAAACGCCGCGTCTTACAAATTGTGTCTGACAAAATAATTTTATCCAAATTATTAAACGAGATACATCGAGTTGTTTCAGTCAAAAAACATTTCATTCATGATTTGACGAGATATTTCGTTTATAACAGCGAAGAGGTTAGGTTTGCCTTTTATGTTAATAAACGCCGCGTCTTACAAATTGTGTCTGACAAAATAATTTTATCCAAATTATTAACCGAGATGTATCGAGTTGTTTCAGTCAAAAAACATTTCATTTATAGTACATTATGAACAATATTGTTCATAACAGCGAAGAGGTTAGGATTACTAATCACTTTCATGTCAATAAATACTCTCTTACAAATTGTGTCTCATAAAATAATTTTATCAAAATTATTCAACGAGCTAAATCGAGTTTTTCTAGTCAAAAAACATTTCATTCATATGATTTGACGAGATATTTCATTTATAACTAATAAGAGGTTAGGATTTCCTTTTATGTTAATAAATGACGCGTCTTACAAATTGTGTTTCACAAAATAATTTTATCCAAATTATTAAACGAGATATATCGAGTTTTCTAAATCAAAAAACATTTCATTTATAGTACATTATGAACAATATTGTTCATAACAGCGAAGAGGTTAGGATCACTAATCACTTTCATATCAATAAATACTCTCTTACAAATTGTGTCTCACAAAATAATTTTATCCAAATTATTCAACGAGCTAAATCGAGTTTTTCTACTTGAAAAACATTTCATTCATATGATTTGACGAGATATTTCGTTTATAACAGCGAAGAGGTTAGGTTTGCCTTTTATGTTAATAAACGCCGCGTCTTACAAATTGTGTCTGACAAAATAATTTTATCCAAATTATTAACCGAGATATATCGAGTTTTTTTAATCAATAAACATCTCATTTATAGCAAACGATATTGTTCATAACAGCAAAGAGGTTAGGTTTGCTTTTTATGTTAATAAACGCTGCGTTCTACGAAATACAATTTTATCGAAATCGTTGAACGAGACATATCGAGTTTTTCTGGAAATATGGAAAACGTGCGAATTATTTCATTTATAGCATATCTCGAACGATATATCTCGACCACAGCCGTTTCGCGAACGATTCTGCGACGCGCGATATCTCGTTCAGCGAAGAGTTTAATCTTTATGGAAAACGTTGCTGGAACCAGTTATTGAATTCGTGATCCGATGACCCGCCACGACGTGATCTCGAATTAGGAAACTTGCGCCGCTGTTCGCGGTCCCAATTATTTTAAGTACCTTTCGAGAGAGATGACACCGATCACCAACAGGATTAACCGGCGAGTCTCACTCGTTTGCGTAAATCTTTCGGATTTACGCTGGTCGCTAACGACGATTCTTCCGGAAAGACGTCGAAATTTGCCAATTCGTGAACAATCACGCGAACAATCTATCGAAATCGCGGATCGAGTCGCAACGAGGGGCCGAAAGTTGATGAAACTGTTGTTGGAAAAAAACTTGCGAATTATGCATACAACAGTGTGCATACTTCTGGATAACGTATGCATAGTTATTCATACATCCGGCGTATACCTATGCATATATACGTACATGTATATGCTGGTTTCGTTTTAAGAATATTCCTTGAATACGTGTGAATTTCCTCGTATAACAGGAGACTGTCCTTGTCCTCTCTTTAGACGTAAAAAAACAACGTACAAATCATCCGCCCCGAATCGTTCCTTCATTCTTATTGATTAATTTTGTTCCAATAATCCCTTAGATAGAGAGTCGCCATCCATCCTGAGGAAGGAAGGGAAATCCAAGGGCTTGATTCGAAAATAAAGAACGCGGTCATTTGAAATACAAATGGGGTGGAAAAAAGGGTAGGGAAGGAAGAGCGGCTGAGATAAGGAGGAGGACAGGAAGGAGTACAAGGCGAGGGATTGGTGGAAAAGAGTGAAAGAGAGGAGAGGGTGGGAAGAAAAAAGGGAGGAAGAGTGGAGAGAATCAGGAAGGAGCGAGAGAGGAAGGATTCATCTAAACGAGCAGATCCGTAATCCTTTTACTGCCGCGCGATGAGAGGCTTTGACGCTGACGAGCTTAGCGCTTTGCGACTTTCGTAACGGTGTCAAGCTGGTCTAAAAGACGAGCCGGCTAGACGTCCTACCTTTTCGACGCTGAGGTCGTCTTATTTGATGCTCCCGTATTACCCAGTGTCCTACGCGGCTCTTCCTTAACCTCGGATTAATCAATGAGACCTCATCTATCGGCGAAATGTTCTTCGTTTTTTTTTTTTTTTTTTCAGATTTTTCATTCCAAGCTCGTCTTACGATTCTATCTTGTTACTCTCGCGACTTTAAAAAAAAAAAAAAAACAAGGAAAACTTATTACTCTTGTTACTCTTGCGACTTGAAAAAAAAAAAAAAAAAGAAAGGGAGGAATAAATAATACGATACGAAGATTATTAGATTGTTACAAAATTACGTCGGTGTTTAATTTTCGCTTTTAAAAGTTTCTGTTTAATCTTGCAACGTAGATTAACTTTTTTGAAAACTCTCCCGCCTTTTTTTTTTTTTTTCTTCATTCTTCGTCTTTGCATGTTTGTGAAGCGCGAGTCGAAAATACTTTATTTGAAAGCTCTCTTTGCGCAACGCGGAGCACATTTTGGCGGAGAAGAGGGGATGATAAATGATAAAACAGCGATGAATTTTGAACGCGCAGCTTGGAAAATTTAAATCCAATGACGGCATATACGCGTATACATATGTATACGTGATTGAATAAATCATACTGACACGATGGTTGAAAGATTTCGATTCAACGGCCTGTTTTGCGATTCCATTATTTCACCTTTCCTAATTTTTGCTTTGCAATCGGATCACTGTCCACCTGTATAATTAAGAAATTAATTTCATTGCGTGTGGAAAAAATCGTAAAATTTGCGAAATCATGAATTTCCAATTGTCATTGGAGTGACGAATGATCAACGTAATTATACCAACGACTATGAAAAACTGACGTCAGCTAGCTCGTAAAAGAAAAATCAACCGAACGAATTGTTACATAATTCTTCTCTACGAAATTATGTCCAAAATATTCCATTGTCACTGGTACAGTTATGTTCTTCGCTGTAATTCGTGACTCGTACGTGACTCCGATTACCGAAAACAGACGTGGAGGACGTTAAGTGAATTCATTTTGTGTACCTATTTCAGCTTGTAGCTCACGAGAGGCGACTGTCAACTTCTGCGTCGCGAACAATGGCCGCAATGAGTTTAGGATTCATTGTTATGGTCACACCGTGGACGATTCAGGAAGTTGTTGTAGCTTGTACCGGAAGCAAGCCACCGCCATTCCTCGACTTCCTTGCCACGTGGCTCGCGCTTTCCAACAGCTTCTGGAATCCGTTCCTCTATTGGCTGCTCAACAATCACTTTCGCCGTATTTCAAGAGAGCTATTCTACACTAAGGCGAGTATGACGAACTTTCTTTTTTCTTTTCTTGCTTACGTTTTTCTTATCGATGCTTCTTTATCGTATCGAGTCTTGTAGATTTTATCCAGCTTCCAACGAAACGAATTTTTTTTCTCATAAAACGTAATATTTAGATAATATTTTTACGATATTATGAAATATTTGTAACACTATAATATTAGATAATATTTGGAATATTTATTTTCTTCTATATTTGCTTATGAAGGGAAATTGTCTTCTAGATTTTATCTACCTCAGTTTTCAATGCAACGAATTTTTCTCATAAAATATAGTATTTAGATAATATTTTTACGATATTATAAAATATTTATAACACTATAATGTTAGATAATATTTGGAATATTTATTTTTTTCTATATTTGTTTATGAAGGGAAATTGTCTTCTAGATTTTATTTACCTCAGTTTCCAATGCAACGAATTTTTCTCATAAAATATAGTATTTAGACAATATTTTTACGATATTATAAAATATTTGTAACACTATAATATTAGATAATATTTGGAATATTTATTTTCTTCTATATTTGCTTATGAAGAGAAATTGTCTTCTAGATTTTATCTAGCTCAGTTTTCAATGCAACGAATTTTTCTCATAAAATATAGTATTTAGACAATATTTTTACGATATTATAAAATATTTGTAACACTATAATAATATTTGGATAATATTTGGAATATTTATTTTATTCTATATTTGCTTATGAAGGGAAATTGTCTCCTAGATTTTATTTACCTCAGTTTCTAATGCAACGAATTTTTCTCATAAAATATAGTATTTAGATAATATTTTTACGATATTATAAAATATTTGTAACACTATAATATTATAATATTTGGATAATATTTGGAATATTTATTTTCTTCTATATTTGCTTATGAAGGGAAATTGTCTTCTAGATTTTATCTAGCTCAGTTTTCAATGCAACGAATTTTTCTCATAAAATATAGTATTTAGATAATATTTTTACGATATTATAAAATATTTGTAACACTATAATATTATAATATTTGGATAATATTTGGAATATTTATTTTCTTCTATATTTGCTTATGAAGGGAAATTGTCTTCTAGATTTTATCTAGCTCAGTTTTCAATGCAACGAATTTTTCTCATAAAATATAGTATTTAGATAATATTTTTACGATATTATAAAATATTTGTAACACTATAATATTAGATAATATTTGGAATATTTATCTTCTTCTATATTTGTTTATGAAGGGAAATTATCTTCTAGATTTTATTTATTCACTTCAGTTTCCAATGCAACAAATTTTTTCATAAAATATAGTATTTAAATATTTTTATGATAGTATAAAATACTTGGAATAATATTAGATAATATTAGATAATATATATAATATTTATTTTCTTCTATATTTGTCTATGAAGGCAAATCATAATTTCGGATTCTACTAGATGGCTCTAGTATAATTATTCTACGATAAAAAAAACGTTTCTCTCCTTCCTTTAAATGTGTAATCTCACGCGATAATTCTTTTAACTCGATAAAAGTTATCTGATCATTGCGATCGAACAATTCTTTGAAATTGCAAAGGGCCAGCACATACGATACATCGAGCTTATCCTGCTTCGGTGATTTTTATGTCGTTTCCTGTAGCTTGTACGCATACGCATTAAGTATCGATTTAACTGTACGCAAACCGGGTGTCTGAGGAAATAAATTGCTTTCATTCGGAGTGTACCCGTGCTCGTTTTTGTCAGTTTTATAAAATTACGTTTCTGAAAATTCTGAAATTTCGGAAAATGACGCGCGGTATAAAAGGGTGCAAGCAAATAAATATTTTTTTTTAACGTTAGTGTTTCAATATCACTTGGAGAATATTCTGACTCATTATAAGCGTTTTTCTAACGAGTCAAAAGTCTTGGGACACTTTTATTTTCAATATTTACAAATATTTTTAACACTTTCGTATTACACTAATATTTCTAGTATTTTAGTTTTACATTCACTGTGTTTATTGTAAACACAAAAATTTATATTACATATTATTTAATTGCATTCCATTATATCATTCACTTTTGTATGTATATTGTGAATATTGTGTCTATAACTTGCATTTATTGTATTACACTATTTTTGTCGTACGAAGTTACAGTACTCGTTCTAAGATTACTGAGTGGATGGTGTACACACATGCATATACGTGATCCACGTAACTACAATAGCCGTGTGTAGCATCAGGGGCTTAAGAGAAGCGTTTAGCCAGCATTTGTGCAATATTCAGTTAAATCCGTACGTGTGTGCAAGCTTGTAAAACGAAAAACGCTTACAAAACACCTGGAACGTGTAAATCACGTGCCACGACGATTTGTACATCATGTAGGTTCAATTTAAATAGATATACATATATGTATATTTCGGTGATTCAGATGCAATTTATTTACATGAATAATTTACGCCGAATGCTATTTATTTTCACCAATATTTTTATCCATTTATACAGCACACGATAGAAATGATAATACGCGTGAAAGAAGAGAAAGCCAAAGCGAAAACTTTTTCACGGAAATTGGAAAACTGAAATGTTTGTCTCGTCGTTATTAATGTCGTCGCCGGTTAGGCTCGATAACTGTAGAAATACGCACCTTGATCCACACCAACAAATACTTGCATTGTACGTACAAGAGTCGCATAATCCAACAGTACTCTCGGTTGGTTACTCTGAGTGGTTTAATGAAAGACTAGAAATATTTTCGATTGGTGCATTAAAAAATTTATTTCACTAAAAAAAGAAAAACTTGATCTTCTTTTGTGCTTAGAAAAGATAATAATTATATCGGCTTAATGTAATCCCTCTTGAAATCAACGCTGGATGAAACGATATTTCAAATGAAGCATAAATATATTCACAGAGATCGTTTTCTTTGTTTATTTGAGACAGTTGCTTGCTTTTCTATCGATTGGAATATTATTGGAAATATTAAAATATCATTTGATTCTACGTATTTTTCACGATGGACTTGGAGCAGTTATTTGAAGTGAATATTTCTCTCGTTATTCAGAAATGATACAAAATTCATAATAAAACAAAAAAAAAAAAACATTCAAACACGATGTTGAAATGTTTGAATGTTATTTGAAGTGAATATTTCTCTCGCTATTCAGAAATAATACAAAATTCATAATAAAACAAAAAAAACATTCAAACACGATGTTGAAATGTTTGAATGTTATTTTTGTCCTATATATTTTGTATTATTTCTGAATAGTTCCTGATTTTTTATGTTTGTGCATGAGTTGTGCACGTATCTTAATAGTCATCTTTATATTTTTACGTCGCTTACGTAGGTTAATTATTACTAATTAATATTTGCTGTTTCTCCATACTTTATCTCGCTCTAGTTTCCCCTCTGGAATAACATTTGAAATAATTAATGCAAGTTTCGAATATTTCGTGAAATATTATTTTAAATAATAACACGCCTCAAGCAATTAATAATTCTCACTCGCGTGCTCGAAATAAATAATCGTGTATATCACTACCGAATCAAATAAACACTTTTATTTCAGAAAGAATATTCCAATTAATTCCAATTGGAGAGAATTCCAATGTTTCAAATATTTCGTACGAATGATATAATAAATGAGCCTGTATCTACTGCTACTGCTCACTCTTCGACGATCATACACTATAACAATTTGTCTTTCTTTCTTTAAAATGTCGATCTCGATCGCGATACTAACGCCACCAACGCAAGAAACCTTTCGCAATCGTCTCAAATGTATATTCGGCGTTGCTTCGCGTAACAATTTCTAGATGTAATTAATCGTTTCGATAACACTTCAGCCTCCAAATCTCGCAATTACTCGACTCGTCCGGTATATACGCGCGCAACCATGTCTAAATATCGCAAATTATTTCGATTGTTAATCGAATTATCGGTACATATTTTGGGGACATGTTCGAACGATGTTCACTCGGCGCGATAAAAATTTCGACTTTCACAGCGTGGAATGTGAGAAAATAATGGTAGAGTGGTCACGGTAAAAACGTCGCGGGTGCCGCGATAAAACCCACGGGAAACATAAGATTTATTTGATCCAATAGGCGTTAGGTGGAACGCGGCTCGTTCTCCCCAATACTTTCTGCAGTTTAACGATCCTTTCCTTCTTCTCCCGATGCTTTTCATCCTTTTTTCTCCCCCTCCTCCTTGCCGTTCACTGATTCAGCATGTCCCCGAGATACGTTCACTGTTGACCCTCACACGGTGGCGGTCATACATCTCCCGTGTGCTTCGACTTTACAGCCCATGAATTCCGAAAAGCTCGTTGCTGTCCCGTAAATTTTAATCCTCGAGAAACGCTTGTCCGCCTGTCCGCCTGTCCGCCTGTCCGCTTGCCTCTTATCGTTTAGCACAATAGTTAATTCATAGCGGACGGAGCTGATCACACTGACGAATCGGAATAGAGTGTACGTGCCTTCGTTTCATTTCCATGTGTTGTCACGTGTGTACGTTCCTTGTCGTTGGGAAGTATGGCAATATACGTTCAATGACACAGGGGGTCATAAACGAATTTTTTAGAGGAAATATTCGAATCAATATCGAGTATTATTATTTGCATTGTTTCGATGCAGCGGCGGTAATAACGTTGCGCGCGAAATCTCCGATAACTCGGTTAATACGAATGAACAAATTAATGTTATTGAAAGGGCAGTGCGACGCAAAATTGAATTGAAATATGTTTAAATAACAATATTGGTTCTTGTTCTTCTTTTCTCTTTTTTTTTTTCTTCTTCTTTTTTTTTTGTTGGTTGTGAATTCATGACGCTTGAATACCGCAGTGTCGGCGCATATTTTTGCGCAGGTTTCAATGTATTCGCGTGATTCGTCATTCTTAATTACTGACGAACGTCCCGAACGTGACCTGTCTTGCAGCGATTTATTGCTTCCGCCAAATCGTTTGAATTATTTTCCTGTTTTCGGCTTTTTTGTTTTTTTGACTTTTTT